AGAAACAGCGACGGGTCAGCAGTAGAAGGAGCAAACCGAAGAGCCGCAAGTCAGCTTCATCTTGCTTACGTGGCCACTCGGGCCAACACTGCTGATGTTTTCACCAAGGCACTTCAGCGTTGTGATCATCAGCGTTTCTGTATTGCTCTATGCCTTGTACCTACTGTGCCTCACTTGCTTACTTCTTGACTCTGCTTGTACTGTGATCTCTATACATATACCTGCTTGCTTACACTTGCTAGGTTGTGTTCACTGTATTGCTTGTTCTCCTTTCTATAACTCTGCATGTGAACTGGCCTTGTGGCCATTTGCTTGTGCTCTGAATGCGTGGTGACGTCGTGATCCACCCTGAGCTTGCTTTGCCTTTCTTGACGGCCCGTCGCGGACCCCTGCTTTCTCGGCCCGTTGCGGCCTTGCCCTCTCGACGCCTCGTCGCGGCCCCGACCTTGCCGCCCGCCGCGGCCTCTGCCCTGCCGCTGCTCGTTGCGGCCTTGCCCTACCCTGCCGTCCAGCCATGGCCCTGCCCTGCCGCCACCCTGTCGCCGCCCTGCGCTGCCGCCGACGCGTCGCGGCCCTGCCCTTCAGCCGCCCCAGTCGCGGCCCTACTCTACCGCCGCCAAGTAGCGGCCCTGCCCTGCTGTCGCCCCAGTCGCGGCCCTGACCTAACCGCCAGTTGCTGCCCTGCCCTGCACCCGCCCCTGGTAAGCACCCGCGCCGCCCAGCCGAGCCGCGCCGCTCCTCCGAGCTGTGCCGCCCTACCTCGCCGCGCCGCCAGGAGCCGAGCGGCGCCGCCCTACCGAGCCGCGCCGCCTTGCCGAGCCGCGCCGCCCTACTGAGCCGAACTGCCCTGCCCGCGCTGCTCCTGCTGCTACTGCTGCTTCTGCTGCCACTGCTGCTACTGCTGCTACTGCCGCTATGGCTAGCCCTAATGTTCTTACCTTTGATGCTGAGGGGCGTGCGGGTGACTTTGACGTGTGGGTTGATGACTTGCAGCTCTTTCGATCACACGTCCGGTGTCTCTCCTGCACCTGCTGCCAGTACGTTTCACTCGCAGTGGACCACTCGTGACGCTGTTGCTCGCCTTGCTGTTCGTAGTCACCTGCCGTCTGCTGAGCGCGCGCACTTTGGCCAGTACAAGACTGCTAAGTCTTTGTATGACGCTATCGTAGCGCGCTACTCCTCCCCTGCCATTGCTGCCCTCAACCGCCTCATGTTACCGTACCTGTTCCCTGAGGTTGCCGCTTTTGCCACAGTCGCTGACCTCATTACTCACCTCCGCACTAGTGACGCCCGCTACCGAGCTGCGCTTCCCACTGAGTTCTATGCCAAGAACCCCCCCCCCCCCCCATGTACATCACCCTTTACTACCTAGTCACCCGCCTCCCTGACTCCCTTGCTTCAGTCAGGGACCATTTTCTCTCCCTTTGCCCCACCGAGCTCACCCTCGACCTGCTAGAGGAGTGCCTCACTGCAACTGAGAAGAGTATCGTTGCTGTAGGTTCTTCTCGCGGTGACCCTCGGGCCCCTTTCTTTGAGGGGTGTTCCCCTGTCCCTCTTCTCCCCTCTGTTGCTTTTGCTGCTGTTGTCGACCTCGTTGGCACTGAGGAGGTCGGGGCTGCGTCTGCTCCTAGTGGGAGGCGCCGCAACAGCAAGGGCAAGGGGGGCAAGGGTGGTGGAGGGGACGATGGGGGTGGCGGTGGAGGCGGTGGACGAGGCGGAGGGGGTGGCGGTGGAGGTGGGGTTGGTGGCGGGAGTGGGGGCTTCGGTGGCGGCGGTGGGGGTGGTGGAGGCAGCGGCAGCGGCGGTGGAGGCAGCGGCAGCGGTGGTGGAGGTGGCGGCGGTGGTGCTGGTCGAGGTGGAGCCGCGCAGCGTGGAGGCTTTGGTGGTAGCCAGCGCCAGCAGCAGCCGCGTTCCCGTGAGACCCCGTCGGCCCAGCAACTTCGTGAGTGGTACGCTGGGCGTGGGAGGTCTGGGGGTGTTGGTCCCACCACTTGCGTTCTTCGCACTGGCGGGCGCCGTGGGGAGACGTGCGGGCTGCCACACACTACGCAGCGCTGCTTCGGTCGCCTGACTGACGCCTGGCGCGCCCAGTTTCCTGACGTTGTTGAGCTCCCTCGCTGGGGTGATCTGCTTAAGCATAATGTTGCTATCTTTGATCTTGATTTCGATGCTATCCTTGCTGCCATGTATGCTGCGACTGATCGTGCTGAGGGTGACTGTTACCTGTGTGTTCCGCCCGACCCGGACAATGAGGCTGCTGCTCTAGGTGCTAGTGAGTCTGCTGCTCCATGTACTAGTGAGTCTGCTGCTCCAGGTACTAGTGAGTCTGCTGTTCCAGTTGCTCGTGAGTCTGCTCTCTCTGGTACTGCACCTACTGAGGCCTTCCACACTTTCACACTTGACTCTGGTGCTTCGCGCTCCTTCTTTCGCGACAGCACCACACTCACGCCGCTCAGTCGGCATGTCGCAGTCTCCCTGGCTGACCCCTCTGGGGGCCCAGTCCTTGCGCACTCTTCCACGGTTCTACCGTGTCCTGCGGCCCCGTCGGGCTTGCTGTCGGGACTCCACCTCCCCTCGTTTTCTACGAACTTGGTGATTGGAGCTGACCTCCAGGACGTGTGGGTTGACCAGTTCACCCCTGGAGGTCAGCGTGTGACCCACTGCACTTGCTCTCGGACGGGCCGCCACCTGGCCACGTTCACCCGTCGGCCTGGGTCGAGTCTGTACACACTGATTACTGCGTCTCCTCCGGTTACTGCGTCTGGTCAGGTAGACGCGTCTGGTCAGGTGTTTGCTGCCGTGTCCAGGTCTTGTCCAGCGTCTGCCCCCTGCTCGTGTCGTCCTCTGTCACGCGAGACTCTCCTTAGGCACCACCGCCTTGGTCACCCCTCCCTGCCTCGTCTTCGAGGTATGGCCTCCCGTACCCTTGTCTCTGGTCTCCCCTGGTCCCTCCCTCCCCTTCCTCCGGGGCCTGCCCCTACCTGTGTTCCTTGTGTCGAGGGCCGGCAGCTCGCTACTCCTCACTCCTCCGAGTTCACATCGAAGGCTCCCCCGCAGACTCTCCACATGGACGTGTGGGGCCCAGCCCGCGTCCGTGGACAGGGTCACGAGCTCTACTTCCTGCTGGTCGTTGACGACTAGTCGCGATACACCACAGTCTTCCCCTTGCGCCACAAGGGTGAGGTCATTGAGGTTTTGATCGACTGGATCCGCGGTGCCCGTCGCCAGCTCAGCGAGAGTTTCGGCTCGGACCTTTCTGTTCTGCGTCTGCACTCAGACAGAGGTGGTGAGTTTTCCTCCGACCTTCTGAGGGCCTTCTTTCGTGCGGAGGGCATCCGCCAGACGTTCACGTTTCCGGCCTCCCCACAGCAAAATGGGATTGCTGAGCGCCGCATTGGCATGGTCATGGACGTCGCTCGTACGTCCATGATCCATGCGGCTACTCCCCATTTTTTGTGGTCGTTCGCGGTTCAGTACACTGCGCATCAGATCAACCTTCAGCCTCGTGTCTCCTTGCCGGAGACCACACCTACTCTGCGGTGGACGGGGAAGGTTGGCGATGCGTCTGTGTTCCGTGTCTGGGGATCTCAAGCTTTTGTCCACGATGCTTCCGCGGACAAGCTGTCCTCCCGTGCCGTTCCCTGCGTCTTCCTTGGCTTCCCCCCTGACGCACCTGGGTGGCAGTTTTACCACCCCACCTCGTTTCGTGTTCTGTCCTCTCAGGACGTCACGTTTGACGAGTCGGTATCTTACTACCGTCTCTTTCCCTACTGCACTGCCCCTCTCCCCCCCCCCGCCACTCTTCCTAGTACCAGGTACTCCTCCGGTAGACCCCCTCCCCCCTCAGGGTCCTGCCCCCTCAGGTGTGTCCTAGGTAGACCCTGTCGAGCTTGTCAAGGTAGCTGTCGACTCTGGTGCTGCTCGGGGTGCTGAGCCTGTGGGTGCGGGGCCTGGGGGTGCTGAGCCTGGGGTTGCTGAGTCTGAGGGTGCGGAGCCTGGGATTGCTGAGCCTGAGCGTATGGAGCCTAGGGGTGCTGAGCCTGGGGGTGCTGAGCCTGAGCGTGCTGAGTCTGGAGGTCCTCCGGGTGTCCCATCACGGCTACGTGAGTGGTACGTTCGGCGCTGTAGCCGTGCTGCTGGAGGTGCTTCTGGAGCTGGAGCTGCTGGAGGTGCTGCTGGTGCTGGAGGTGCTGCTGGAGCTGGAGCTGCTGGAGGTACTGGAACTGGTGGTGATGCGGGAGTTGTAGCTGGAGACCCTGGATCTGAGGGTACTGGTGCTGTCTCTGCTGTTTCTGGAGGCGCTGCGCGGCCGCGGCCGTACTACGTTCCGCTCCTTCAGCAGGTTCTTGGTCTCCCGCCTTCTACTGGTCCTACTCCTCCCATACTGAGTCCACCGCCTGTCCAGTCACAGTCGCAGTAACGGCCAGCCTCTCCACTGCCTCGTCCTTCTCCTTACTCTGGACCGACTAGAGGTCTTACAGAGCGTCGTGAGCCTGAGTCTCGTCCTGCATCCCCTGAGTCTCGTCCTGCGTCACCTGAGTCTCGTCCTGAGTCGCGTGTTCGCGCTGTTCGCACTGGTCGACGTGTTCCGCGTCATGTCCTCCTCCTGTCCCCGACACTCACTATATGACTCTGCGTCCTTCCACTGCTCCAAAGCGTGTCCCTCTGCCGTCTCCTCCTGCGTCCTCTCTTCCTGACGGTCCGGACCCGGAGTCTGACTCCCTTCGTGCTGCTAGTCCTACTGTCACGCGTTTTCTGGCCACTGTTGTCACTGACCCTTCGTTTGAGTCCACTGCTGCGTCTCCTCTAGTTGCTGAGCTTGTTGACTTTGCTGCCGCCTGTCGTCTAGACTACGCCACTCGTCTTGTTGCTGAGTCTGAGTCTGTGTCTGTCTATCCTCCGTCCGTCGGGGGTGAGTTTGCTCTGTTGGAGTAGGCTAGAGCTCGCTCTGGCCTTTATTTTGGTGTTCTCTTATCATTCCACCATGCTTAGAGCGAGTTATGCTTCCAGGTTCAATTTAGGTTCATTTCGTAGCTATAGTACAAACTGAACACACCCTAAGTTCAATTAGGGTTTCCAATTCCTTTCTAGACTTGTATCTCGACACTTCTTTCCTAATACAATTTTTCTCTCGCTACCTTCTCTCTTCCTAGCCATGGCTACCACACTCTCAGTTTTAACATGGTATCTAGAGCCAAATCCTTGGCGTTTTGTCCCAATCTATATCTCTTAGTACGGTTTAGGCCTTAGGCATCCGGCGCGCCACTTTTTACCTAGTCGAAAATTATCTTCCCTAGTATTTCGACCCTTAAAGTTCTTTTTTTTTTTTTCAATCACGGAACCTTCCATCCATCACCCGAGGTCTCCCTGCCTAGTCACGCGCCCCGTCCCCTAGTCGCGCGCCCTGTCTCGTCGTCGCGCCGTCCTCCCCCCCCCCCCCCCCACCTCGTCGCGCGCCCTACTCACCGCCGCGTCGCGCGCCCTGCCCGTCGTCGACGTGCGCGGCCTCCCCGCCGTCGATGCGCGCGCGCGTCTTGCCCACCGCCCTCCATCTCCTTGGCCACCCTTCCCTCCTCCCAGCCACCCTTCCTTACCCTCTCGTGGGCGGCCTGCCACACCTCCCTGCAGGCGCCTTTCCCTCCCCCCCGTGGTGCGCCTTCTTCTGCCGTTTTCTGCACCACCTCCTCCTTCTCCCCTCACCCCATCCGCCTCTTCACCCTCCTCCTCCTCTCCTCATTCCTTCCTCCCTTCCGTGCCTTTCCTCCCTTCCTCCACTTCCTTCCCCTCCGCATCTGCCACCTGGCTGCGTGTTACTGATTGCCACTTGGTGATCGTGACCCTACTTCCTCCCCACACTCCGCTCCTTCACCCTCCTCCTCCTCTTCTCTCTCCCTCTATTTCCCCCACCCTCTCACCTCTTCCTCCGCCTCTCTTCTCTCCCTATCTGCTGCAGCTGGTAGCTGTCCGTGTTTCGTCGCCTTCCACACATTTCCTCCTCCTCGTATTTCTCCCCTCAGCGGCGCAGCAGCAGACTCCTTCGCCCCTATCCCTCCTCCTCTTATTTCTCCCCTCAGCGGCGCAGCAGCAGACTACCCCGCCGTTTTCCCTCCTCCTCTTATGTCTCCCCTCAGCGGCGCAGCAGCAGACTACTTCGTCGCTATCCCTCCTCCTCGTATTTCTCCCCTCAGCGGCGCAGCAGCAGACTCCTTCGCCCCTATCCCTCCTCCTCGTATTTCTCCCCTCAGCGGCGCAGCAGCAGCCTACCCCGCCGTTTTCCCTCCTCCTCTTATGTCTCCCCTCAGCGGCGCAGCAGCAGACTACTTCGTCGTTATCCCTCCTCCTCTTATTTCTCCCCTCAACGGCTCAGCAGCTGACTACATCGCCCCTATTCCTCCTCCTCTTTTCTCTCTCCAACACTGCTTTACTGCTATCCCCTCCCCCATATGGGGCCTCTTCTCGCTCTTACCTCTCTTCCTCTCTCCCATTGCCTCCAGTCAGGGTCATCGCTATTTTCTTCTTCTCGTCGATGACCATTCTCGCTTTGCCACTGTCTATCCCCTCCGTGCCAAATCTGACGCCCCCTCCCTCATCATTCGCTGGGCTGAGCAGGCGCATCTTCGCTTTGGCCGCCCTGTCGCGTGCCTCCACTCTGATGGTGGTGGCGAGTTCTTTAACCACTCTCTTTCTTCTTACTGCTCCTCTCATGGCATTCGCCAAACCTCCACCGCTCTTGGCATGGACGTCCTTGAGGACAGACAGGAGGAGTTTGAGTGCTTTGCCACTGCTTTATCACATCATCTCGTGTCCATGCTGCTTGCCCCTGAGGGAGACCCGGATGCACCAGACATTCCGACCCCGCGCTCTTACGCAGAGGCGATAGAGGGTCCCTACTCCTCTCAGTGGCAGACAGCCATGGAGACAGAGATGGCTTCCTGGAAGTCCATAGGCACCTAAGCCGACGAGGTTACCCCGCCTGGGTCGAACATCGCCAGTGGCATGTGGATTTTCAGGGTGAAGCGGCCGTCGGGTTCTCCGCCTGTCTTCAAGGCGCGTTACGTTGCACGAGGGTTCAGTCAGCGATAGGGAGTTGACTTCTTCCAGACCTTCTCCCCTACCCTGAAGATGACCACTCTTCGGGTGCTGCTGCACGTCGCCGCTCAGCGTGACTACGAGCTACACTCTCTTGACTTCAGCACAGCCTTCCTACAGGGCAGCCTGCACAAGGAGATCTGGCTGCGCCGCCCACCTGGCTTCACTGGGTCGTTTCCTGCTGGTACCCAGTGGAGCCTCCGGCGGCCAGTCTACGGTCTCCGCCAGGCACCCCGTGAGTGGCACGACACACTGAGGTCTTGCTGCTCTTGGGTTTGCTCCTTCTACTGCTGACCCGTCGCTATTTCTACGCACCGACGCCACTCTGGCACCGTTCTACGTTCTCGTGTACGTAGACGACCTCGTCTTTGCTACTGCTGACACTGAGGCGCTCGCCCACGTGAAGTCCGTGCTGCAGAAGAGACACACGTGCACAGACCTGGGTGAGCTGACAAGCTATCTTGGCTTGCGGATCACCCGGGACAGAGCACAGCGCACCATTACCTTGACTCAGTCACACATGGTGCAGCAGGTCCTTCAGCGCTTCAGCTTCACGTACTCCTTGCCACAGTCCACTCCTCTGCCTACCGGTCACTCGCTCTCAGCTCCACCTTCGGACGAGTCCGTAGAGCCGAGTGGCCCGTATCCAAAGCTTGTGGGCTGCGTCAAGTACCTGATGACCTGCACTGGACCTTGCCTACCCTCTTAGCATTCTAGCACGCTATGTCGCTCCTGGCAGACACAGGAAGGAGCACGTGGATGCAGCAAAGAGGGTGTTGCGCTACTTGTGCAGTACGTCGGGCATGGGGCTCATGCTTGGAGGATGGGCTTGAGTTGTCCTCACTGGTCACGCAGACGCTTCCTGGGCTGACGACTTGATTACGCAGCGGTCGTCACAGGGTTGCACCTTCAGCCTTGGCTCTGACTCTGTCTCTTGGCGGTCTACCCGCTCGTCTTCTGTTCTCAGCTCCAGTTGTGAGGCTGAGATCTATGCAGGGGCCATGGCTGCATAGGAGTTACTCTGGCTCACCTACCTACTGACCGACCTGGGAGAGCCGCCTCGTTCTCCTCCAGTGCTGTACGTCGACAACAAGGCCATGATTGCCTTGTGTCAGGAGCACAGACTAGAGCACAGAACGAAGCACATCGCTCTGCGGTACTTCCTTGCTCGAGAGTTGCAGCACCATGGTCAGCTTCGTCTTGCTTACGTGGCCACTCAGGCCAGCACTACTGATGTTTCACCAAGGCACTTCAGCCTTCTGATCATCAGCGTTTCTGTACTGTTCTAGGCCTTGTACCTACTGTGCCTCACTTGCTTACTTCTTGACTCTACTTGTACTGTGATCTCTATACATATACCTGCATGCTTACACTTGCTAGGTTGTGTTCACTGTATTGCTTGTTCTCCTTTCTATAACTCTGCATGTGAACTGGCCTTGTGGCCATTTGCTTGTGCTCAGAATGCGTGGTGACATCGTGATCCACCCTGAGCTTGCTTTGCCTTTCTTGACCGATCTTGTGACCTCTTGTTCTCCCCCACTTTGCCTATGGGGGTGTGTCAAACTTATATGCTATAGTCTGTCTAGGCTGTAGTGGGGTAGTTCATATAGGGTACAACACTTTTAGGTTTCCTACTTGTACCCACCTGCTTCCTAGTTCAGTCATTCCTTCCTTCACAATTCTGACACGAAATCCAATTGTGCGACTCCAAACAGTTATAAACTGTTCCCGGCAGAATCCCTGCTTTTGCAGCTGCACGATGTCATATACCTTGACGGTCCAGATGCTTTGCAACCGTACGCGACCTTTCGTGTCTTTCCGCCTTGTCGTCTTCATACTCCTTTCTGTGTGACCCGCTTGCTACTATCCGCAGTGCATAGTGTTTTTTCACAATTTACTATTTGTAACAGAAACAAGCAAGCAAGCAAGGCACTCTACCCTGTCTCTTGCCTAAGTATTCTGCACGTGGTTACCGTTGCTACCAACGGTGCTCCCACTTCGCCCAAATCCCCACTTATCCCGCTCGCTATTTTATAGTTCCCGCCTGCTTCACTACAGTTCTTTCCTTCACTAGCTACTTGTCTTGCTTTTATATTGTTTCATTATACTCCTACCATTAAAAGCATGACAGCTCGACGCCACTTGCCGCACCCAGCAACTCTGATTTTCTCGCGCGCAGTTGATGACAGCTTGAAGACGCCAACTCACACAACAGCCGCTTCCGACAACTTCGAACGTGAGATGACGACGATCTTGTCCACGTCAGCCGCTACACAGAATCAGCTCTGAAATTGACGAAATCGAAGACATTTAACTCACGCAATTAATGCGACAACAGTGATTGCTGTCCACCACCCGGGGGGGGGGGAGGTCATGGTCAATCTTGACCGTCAAAGGCAAGGATCCGGCGGTGCCGAGGAGCGCCTGTTAATCTAATGGTCGCGAGGAGCAACTACCCGTTCTCCTAGCCTGGTAGTGCACACTTGCTGGCCCCTCGGCATCCTTTCCTGTCCCCCCACCAAGGGGTAATACACTCTAAAAGCGGGGTGAGCTAGGAAAGTAGCTCTGATACCAAGTGTTATGGGTTGTACTGTCAGAGTGTGCGGAAAATATTATAAAGAGACTGTGATTGCGGAAGACTCGGTATACAACGAAAGTCCGAAAAAATATAGGGTGAACACGTGCTAGGCGAGGACCTCAGGACGTGCGTGGTTTGGGAGTGTCGCGATTAGTTCGGGGCGACTCGGAGCTGGTTCAAGTTCGGGGTGAAACCGTAGGCCGAGTTGTCAAATAAAATTTACCGGTAGATGTTTTGTTAGTTTGCTAGGCTAAAGTGAGTTGCATATTATAGTGTACACAGTTTCCCTCGACATTCCTACTTGTACCTCTTGCCCTACTAGTCAATCATCCATTCCTCTAGTACTGGTATCACACTAGTTCCTTCCTTGACCTAAATTACCTACCTAGAAATGTTCCTAGGCTCGTCTCCGCCAGCCAGCCTTAGCCACCGAGGCGCCTCCGCCAGCCAGCCTTCCCGTTGACCTCAGTGCAGTAGCAGTCGCGCGCTCCCTTTTAGCCTCAAACGCGCGCCTTCATTCCGCGCACGCCAGGACAGTGCGCGCCAGCATAGCGCGCTTAGCAGCGCAGCGCGCGCCAGCATAGCGCGCTTAGCAGGGCAGCGCGCGTCATGAAAACGCGCCTACATAGCGCGCGCGCCAGCACAGCAAGCGCTAGTGACGCTCGCGTGCCAGCAAAGCGCACGCGCTCAACAGGCAGACGCACGCCAGCACATAATGCGCCTCCGCAGCACGCCCTGCCACTACACGCGCCACAGCGCACACCGCCACTGCTGCGCGCACTCCACCCGTTTGTCAAGAGAATGAACGAGAATGAATGAACTATGAAACAGTTGGGTACAAGTACTAACCCTAATTGGGTTGTACCCCTTATGGGCTTACCCCACTAAAGCCTACACAAATGTAAGCACTATAACATTCTGACACACCCCCATAGGCAAAGTGGGGGAGAACAAGTGGTCACAAGACCAGTCAAGAAAAGCAAACAAGCTCAGGGTGGATCACAAAGTCACCACACAGTCTGAGCACAAGCAAAGGGCCACAAGGCCAATTCACATGCAGAGTCATATAGAAGAGAACAAACAATACAGTGACCATACCCTAGCAAGTATAACCATGCAGGCATATATATAGATCACAGTACAAGCAAAG